AGCCAATAATTGCAAAACCCTAAAAGTCAAATTTGTGTTCTTCCAGCTATTCCATATTCACTGACTTTTTTTAGATATAACTTTTATTTATTTTTTATTGATGAATAATTGTACGTATTTATGGGGGACATGTAATATTTTGTTACATGCATAGGATGTGTCTAGGAGCATTTCAAGTCCTCTCTTTTAGCCTTTTTTGAGTAAAGTCTTCCTCGGTTGCCCAGGCGACACTGGTTGTGTACAGTGGTGCAACCATAGCTACTGCAACCTCAAACTCCTGGGCTCAAGTGCTCCTCCTGCCTCAGCCTCCAGAGTAGCTAGGGCCATAGGCGTGAGCCACCATGCCTGGCTAATTTTTTTATTTTTTATTTTTTTAGAGACAGGATCTCATTATATTGCCTAGGCTCGTCTTGAACTCCTGGGTTCAACGATCCTCCTGCCGTGGCCTCCCAAAGTGCTGGAATTACAGGCATGAGCCACTGTGCCCAGCCTTTTCTAGCTATTTTGACATATACCATATATTGTTGTTAGCCATAGTCACTCTACTCTGCATCTTATTCCTTCTGACTATATGTTTGTGCCCATTAACCAAGCTCTCTCATTCCCTGCCCCTCCCTAACACACATGTCCTTCCCCCCACACACCCTTCCCCACCTCTGGTAACTATCATTCTGTTCCCTGTCTCCATGAGATCAGTTCTTTGAGCTACTACATATGAATAAGAACATGCAGTGTTTAATTTTCTATGCCTGGCTTATTTCACTTAACATAATGTCCTCCAGTTCCATCCCTGTTGCTACAAATGATTTTGTTCTTTTTTCTGGCTGAATAGTATGGTTTTGTTCTTTTTTTCTAGCTGAATAGTATTCCGTTGTGTCTATGTACCACCGTTTCTTTATGCCTTCATCTGCTGATGGACACTTAGGTTGATTCCGTATCTTTGCTATTGTGAATAGTGCTGCAGTGAACATAGGTGTGCAGGTATCCCTTTGATGTACTGAATTCCTCACTTTTGAATAAAGAGCCAGTAGTGGGATTACTGGGTCATATGGTAGTTATATTTTTAGTTTTCTAAGAAATTTGCATACTGTTTTCCATAGTGGCTCCACTAATTTACATTCCCACCAACAGTGTATAAGAGGTCAGTTTTCTCTGCATCCTCACCAACTTCTGTTATTTTTTGTCTTTTTGAGAATAACCATTCTAACTGAGGTGGGATGATGACTCATTATGGTTTTGATTTGCATTTCCCTGATGATTAGTGATGTTGAGCATTTTCTCATGTACCTATTGGTCATTCATATGTCTTTTTTTGAGAAATGTCTATTCAGGTCCTTTGCCCATTTTTTAATGGGATTATTTGGTTTTTTGCTGTTGAGTTGTTTGGAGTTCTTCATATATTCTGGATATTAGTCCCTTGTCAGATGAATAGTTTGCGAATATTTTCTCCCGTTCAACAGGTTGCCTCTTACAGCTAACCTGAATCTATCTAATGTATTGTTTAACTCCATTCCTGCAGTTCTGCTATTTGTTTTTTTTGCTGTGCAGAAGCTTTTTAGTTTAATATAGTCTAATTACAGTCTAATTAGTCTATTTTTGTTTTTGATGCCTGTTTTTGTGAGATCTTAGCCAAAGAATCTTTGCTTAGACCAATGTCCTAGAGTATTTCCTTTATGTTTTCTTCTAGTAGTTTTATACTTTTGCCTCTTAGTTTAGGTCTTTAGTCCCTTTTGTGTTGATTTTTGCATGTGGTGAGAGATAAGAGTCTAGTTTCATTCTTTTGTAAGTGGATATCCAGTTTTCCCAGCACCATTGATTGAGGAGGGTATCCTTTCCCCAATGTATACCCTTGGCGCCTTTGTTGAAAATCAGGTGGCTATAAATATGTCGATGTATTTCTAGCTTTTTTAGTCTGTTCCACTGGTCTATTTTTATACTATTACCATGCTGCTTTAGTTACTTTAGCCCTGTAACATATTTTGAAGTCAGGTAGTATGATGCCTCCAGCTTTGTTCTTTTTGCTCAGGATTGCTTTGGCTATGGGCTCTTTTTTGATTCCGTACGAATTTTAGGATTTTTTTTCTGTGAAAAATGTCATTGGTATTTTGATAGTGATTGCGTTGAATCTGTAGATTACTTTGCATTATGTGGTCATTCATTTTAACAATATTAATTCTCCTGATCCATGAGCATAGGATGTCCATTTTTATGTGTCTACTTTAGTTTCTTTCATCAGTGTTCTGTAGTTTTCCTTGTTAGGGGTCTTTCACCTCCTCTAATAAATATATTCCTAGGGTTGGTTTTTGTGTGTGTGTGTGTGTGTGTGTGTGTGTGTGTGTGTGTGTGTGTAGCTATTGTAAATGGGATTGACGTCTTGATTTCTTTTTCAGCTAGTTCATTATTGGTGTGTAGAAATGCTACTGGTTTTTATATGTTGATCATTAACTTTTTTCTTTCCTGTTTTACCATTTTCCCTGAGCTATTGAAATATTAGGTGGCTCTTAGAGTTCCAGGAATGTTGTGGTCCCCTTTCCCATAGATTTTTATTACTGGAGATTTCCCTTTGTTTTTAGAGCCTAAAGTTACCTGGAGAACTCTCTATTTTGTTTTACCTTTGGATTCCAGATGTGAGTCTGTATATGGATATAAAGAACAAAACCAATTATTATCTTACTTGTATATGAAACTCATTCTTGTCTGTACTCCTTTCTGTAAAGTAAGTTAGGGCCTCTCTGTTCCAGGGCATCCCCCATCCCAGTAACGTGCTGTCAGAGATCACTCTAACGTGACGCTTTCCTCTTTCCTTTTGCGCAGGCTGGGCTCTGTGAAGCTGAGCAGGAGCAGATGAGGAAGATCCTCTACCAGAAGGAGTCTAATTACAACAGGCTGAAGAGGGCCAAGATGGACAAGTCTATGTTTGTGAAAATCAAAACCCTGGGGATCGGCGCCTTTGGAGAAGTGTGCCTTGCCTGTAAGGTGGACACGCACGCCCTGTATGCCATGAAGACGCTGAGGAAGAAGGACGTCCTGAACCGGAATCAGGTGGCCCACGTCAAGGCTGAGAGGGACATCCTGGCCGAGGCAGACAACGAGTGGGTGGTTAAACTCTACTACTCCTTCCAGGACAAAGACAGCCTGTACTTTGTGATGGACTACATCCCGGGCGGGGACATGATGAGCCTGCTGATCCGGATGGAGGTCTTCCCCGAGCACCTCGCCCGGTTCTACATCGCAGAGCTGACTTTGGCCATCGAGAGCGTCCATAAGATGGGCTTCATCCACCGAGACATCAAGCCCGACAACATTTTGATAGATCTGGATGGTCACATCAAACTCACAGATTTTGGCCTGTGCACTGGGTTCAGGTGGACTCACAATTCCAAATACTATCAGAAAGGTATCGTCTTAGGCGCGCCACGTCCACTGTTCACGTCTAGGTATCACTAAACCATCGGAGGCAGCTATTCCCCATCCTGGTGGCTCTTAATCATTTTAAATTATCTGCCACTCCGTTAGTTTATAATTTGGTGTGATGTCCTTCCCTCTTGAAAGGAATAGTATAATATGTGGGAGATTATTTTTTTTCAGTTAATGGATCTAAGTTTTACTATATTTTTAGGACAGTACGCTATGGGGCTTAGAAAATAAGACTCACGACCTCCCAAGCAGTCCTCTCTTACAGCTAACCTGAATCTATCTAACGTATTGTCTAACTCCATTCCTGCAGTTCTGCTATTTGGGAAAGTCAAAAACAGCTGGTCATTATCTTACTTACGGCTTGGATTCTTGACATAGTTATTTTACTGTCATAGTTCAGACTTTTATTTTTTGACTCAAAACTAACTCTAAATTATTTAATTCTTTCCCATCTTCTGGCATTCAAGTCATTGTGGTTCATATTTTTTAAATCCTCTTCAGTTTTTCCATGCTCATCTCGACACGTCTTGTTAGAACAGTGCTAGCCTGTGGGTGCTGGCCTGGGTGCTCGGAAGGATGTCCCCGCAGTTCCTCCAGCCTTTCTCACGGTGCCCCACTGCCAGCTCAGCACAGCGCGGTTTCCCATGATTGCTTTAGCTGTCGTTCATGCTGGCGCTGCCCTTACGACGTGTTTCAAAGCCAGGAACAGCAGGTTGTCCCTGTGGAGCAGCTGGGGACGATACTTCGTCTTACTGTGTCAGAGCTGACTTGAATTACTTGTCTGTTTTAAGCTAAGGGTTTGTTGCATTGTAACACAATGACAATTCTCTTCATGTTTTGTTCTCTTCTTTACCACCCTGACTCTGGGGTAAAGGGAACCACGTCAGACAGGACAGCATGGAGCCCAGCGACCTCTGGGACGACGTGTCCAACTGTCGGTGTGGAGACAGGCTGAAGACCCTGGAGCAGAGGGCGCGGAAGCAGCACCAGCGGTGCCTGGCGCATTCCCTGGTGGGGACCCCGAACTACATCGCGCCTGAGGTGCTCCTCCGCAAAGGTACGCACTGGGGGACGCTTGCCTCAACGTGCGGCGACTGCTACCTTCAGGCGTGTGGCGCCCAATGACCTCTAAGAGTCTCCCACCTCTAGCTTTCCAAGACTCTAAATATTCCAGCCATAATTCTGTCCTCGTGGAAGCCTGCGAGCTAAATATTCTCGGAACAAAGAAGCCTCCAGCGTATGTCACTTCTGTTTTGGAAGTGCCCTTGCTTCCAGGGCGATGGAAGACACGCCCCATCAGGCCAGTGTCCGCTGGTCCCTGGGCTCTCTACCTAGGACCTGAGGGAATGACACTGCAGCTGGTTTTTACACAGTTCCATGATGGAAACCACTCTGGGGGCCACAGGACCTCTACTCAGTCTGCCTAAATCACACGGTGACGGGCTCTGGCTTTAACTCCTCCGTGCCCAGGCTCCTAGCCGAGATGTGCCGCGTGTGGCCGGGCACTGAGTGACAGTGTACAAATGCTGTTTTCCCCCATTTCTCCCTGCTGCACCACAAGGGCCTGGAAGGTGCACTTTGCAGACAATAGTAGGTGTAAAATTACTTGTGCTCTGCAAAATTTGTCTCGTGGATAGATGCTCCATTCTGTTAAATACAACATCTGGCTCAGTACGAGGGATCCTTTAGCGATCCTGCCTGGTCCGTAGTGACAGGGCAACGTTGACCTGACTCTGAAAGGAATCCAGAGATGGACATCCTCTGCCAGCACCTGTGTTGTTTGAAGTCTGTAGAGCCAGCCAGGCCCAGCTCAAGCCTAGGATTTTAGGTTAGCTGTGGTGATCCAAGGCGTGTCACTCAGCCACTCAGCACCGTATGGAGCAGTACCGACCTTGAGGGGTTGTGAATACAAACCTGGGTGCCCAGTAAAGGTCTCACTTCCTCCTGCCATGGGCAGCGTTGCAGAGCAGCCAGAGGTTGGGGCTGTTCTGCAGCCTCCAGGGCCAAACCGGGACAGGAAGAGGTGGGACAGAGGGCTAGCCTGGCACATAGTGCCAGCAGGGATTAGGTGGCATCAGATGACGAGCTTGGCCTCACTGGGATGTGGGGCTCTGAAGGCAAAGTGGGAGAAAATCAAAAGTGCCCACTGCAGAGGCCTCTCTTTCTCTTCCTCCTCTGCACGTTCCTCAACTCCTTCCAAGACTGACGGAGAAGCCTCTCTCTCCAGGACGCCCTCCGTGACCGCCCTCACCTGACTATTTGTGGGCCGTAGCATTTCACATTTTTCGGTTCCTGTCATTTTAATTTATGTCCCTTCGTGTGATCTTTAAGAACTTAAAAGTCAGCCCAGCACAGGGGTGGTAGACACGGTACTGGCTAACTCGCCAGGAGCCTGGGCAAGGAGGAGTTAAAGCCAGAGCCCGGCAATGTGTGATTTAGGCAGATTGAGTAGAGGTCCTGTGGCCCTCAGAGAGGTTTCTATCATCTAACTCAGTAAAACTTAAAAGTCTGGCCAGGCATAGTGGCTACTCAGGAGGCTGAGGCGGGAGGATCGCTTAAGCCCAGGAGTTAGAGGCTGCAGTGAGCTGTGATCACGTCACTGCACTCTAGTCTGGGCCATAGAGCGAGACCCCATGTCTTTTTTAAAAAATGGAAGCAAAAAGCTTAATTTTCTGATTAGTAAGTAGTAATACCTATTTGCTAACAGTAATCTTTTTAAATTAAAAGGTCTTTTCTCTTATTACAAAAGCATCCTGTGTTGATCACAGAGTAATGATTGAAAACATGAAAACAACAGTGGCCGTGACCTCCCATGCCGACTGTGAGCACCGTGGCGTGGGCCCTTTCCAGCCTGCTCTGCTGAGCCACCGTGCAAGGGGACACACTGATGGGGCTCTGTCTTCTTTCACATGGCATGGTGCTGCTTCCTTGTGCTTTTGCATTTAACAGTGAATCCGTGTGTTCAGGACTTTATAAAATCCAAACCTGACAAGTCATGCCTGTGTTGGGATTAAGGGAGCTTTGTCTTTCAGGGTACACTCAGCTTTGTGACTGGTGGAGCGTCGGAGTGATTCTCTTCGAGATGCTGGTGGGACAACCACCCTTTTTGGCACCGACTCCCACAGAAACCCAACTGAAGGTAACTAGGGAGGAAACACATCTGCTTGCTGCAAAAGCACCTGGTTTTCTCACGCACCCATGAATCCTTGGTCAGAGTTTGGCCTCTTATCCTGAGTAGGGTAGGCATATTCAATGGGATTTTTTTAAGTAATAGTATCACTTAAAAAAATTACTACGTATCTTTAAAACTTTTTATTTTGATAAGGAAAGCCACAGAGTTGAACCTGAGTTTTGATATATACGTGTATCTGAAACTTTGTTTAAGCCATTGGCCATCTGCCATCTTGTTATTTCCAGGCAAGAGCTACAAACGGTGGGGGCAGTAAAGGCAGATCTGCCCCCACCCCCCTGCTCTCCCCTGTGGAGAGCAGAACTTCACGCACCGCAGCTGACTCTTGAACAACACGGAGGTTAGGGGCGCCGACCCCTGCACACTCAAAAATCTGCACATAGCTTTTTTTTTTTTCCACTTTTCACAAGTCTAACTTTATTATTTTTTTATTTCTGCATATTATGGGGGTACCAATGTTTAGGTTATGTATATTGCCTTTGCCCTGCCCGAGTCAGAGCTTCAAGCATGTCCATCCCCCAGACGGTGCGCACAGCACCCATTAGGTGTGAATATACCCATCCCCTCATCCCCATTCCCACCTGCCCGACACCCGATGAATGTTATTACTATATATGCACTTAAGTGTTGATCGGTGAAACCAATTTGCTGGTGAGTACATGTGGTGCTTGTTTTTCCATTCTTGTGATACTTCACTTAGTAGAATGGGTTCCAGCTCTATCCAGGTTAATACAAGAGGTGTTAGATCACCATTGTCTCTTATAGCTGAATAGTACTCCATGATATACATACACCACATTTTATTAATCCACTCGTGTGCTGATGGGCACTTAGGTTGTTTCCACATCTTTGCAATTGAGAATTGTGCTTCTATAAACATTCTAGTGCAGATGTCTTTTTTATAAAATGTCTTTTCTTTTTTTCCTTTGGGTAGATGCCCAGTAAAGGGATTATTGGATCAAATGGTACTTCTACTTGTAGCTCTTTGAGGTATTTCCATATTACTTTCCACAGAGGTTGTATTAGTTTGCAGTCCCACATATATAGCTTTTGACTCCCCCAAAATGTGACTACTAACAGCCTACTGTGGACCAGGAGCCTTCCTGATAACCGAAACAGTGGATTAGCGCATATTGTGTATGTCGTATGCATTATATACTGTATTCTTACAATAAAGTAAGCTACAGGAAAGAAATTGTTTTTAAGAAAATCATGAGGGAAAACTATGTTTACTATTCATGAAGTGGAAATAGCTCATCACCAAGGCCTTCATCCTTGTTGTCTTCACTTTGAGGAGGAAGATGAGAGGTTGGTCTTACTATCTTAGGGGTGGCAGAGGTAGAAGAAAGTGGACCTGCATAGTTCAAATCCTGTTGTTCAAGGGTCAGCTGTATATCTAAAGAAATCCGTTTATTTGGTTATTACATTATTATTGTCTGCAAATTATCAGATATGTGGTTGGGCTAGTTGTACATATTCCTAATACTCATTTGAAGTAATTAATTATTCTCTCAATCATTTAATGCTAAATATTTTTTAGAAGGACAGCCACTTGGTTTTGAAATAAATTATTTAATTACGTAAGGATTGAATTGAGAATCTGAAATCATCAGTGGACTTTCCAACTGATACAATTCTGGAAAGTCTTCATATGCCCTGGAGTCCATGACAGAGCCAAAATTAATAACCCTTTAATTAGAAAAACCCTAAATTAAGGCTTAGTTTCACTCTGGGAACAATAAAACTGGAATTTGGCATTAACTGCATCCTAATTGAATTGCTAAAACACTCAGTAATTTGTCTGCATGATGATAACGCAGATTTTTTTTTTTTGGTAAAATACATATAACATAAAATTCACTATTTTAACCATTTTAAGTGGTATTAAGTACATTCACAGTGTTGTACAACTGACATCACACTCTATTTCCAAATGTTTTCATCTTCCCAAACAGTAACTCTGTCCCCATTAAGTAGTAATTCTCCATTCTCCCCTCCTCCCGGCCCCTGCTAACCTCTGTTGTACTTTTCTGTGAATCTCATATAAGTGGAATCATGCAGTATTTGTCTTTTTGTGACTACTTAATTTCACTTAGCATAATGTCTTCAAGGTTCAACCATGTTTTAGGTTGTGTCAGAAGGTCTTTCCTTTTTAATGCTCAGCAGGCTGTAGTCCCTTGTATGTATGTTCCACATGTTGTCGTTTTCATCCACCCATCGATGGACATCTCCCTTTTGGCCGCTGTGATAATACCATCTATTAGAGTCTCTACTTTCAATCCTTTTGGATATATAACCCAAAAGTGGGATTGCTGGATCATGTGATTATTCTTGTGTAGCTTTTTGAGGAACTGCCAAAACAGCCACACTGTTTGCCACGGTGGCTGTACCGTTTTACATTCCCATTGACTATGCACAAGGGTTCCAACAAGTTTTCCACATCCTTGCCAACGCTGCTTATTTTCCTTTTTTTTTGATAGCAGCCACCCTAAAAGATGTGAGGTGGTATCTCATTATGGTTTTGATTTACATTTCCATAATAGCTAAATGATGTCGAACATCTCTTCATGCGCTTATTAGCCATTTATATATTTTCTTTGGAGAAATGTCTATTCAAGTCCTTTGCCCTTTAAATCTTGTTATTTGGTTTTTTGTTATTGATTTGTAAGAGTTCTTTATATATTCTGAATACCCCTTTTCAAATACATACTTTGCAAATGTTTTCTCCTATTCCATATATTGTTTTTTCACTCTGCTGATATGTCCTTTGATGTAGAAAAGTTTAAAATTTTCATGAAATCTTGTTATTTGGTTTTTTGTTATTGATTTGTACCTGTGCTTTCTGTATCATATCCAAGAAATCATTGCCAAACCCAGTGTCATAAAGATTTCGCCCCAGTTTTCTTCTAGGAGCTTCATAGTTTTACCTCTACAAAAACAGCTGCTTAGGTTCAAACCAGCCCTCCCGCCCACACACCCGCCTCCTTCTGTGCCTCACCCCTGTCCCATCACCCCAACTGAAGCCAGTTACACTGGCCTTGTTTCCTCCTGATTCTCAGTGTAAACACGAAAGAAGTCCCTCAGGTCTTCTCCGTACAACAGACACATTTCTGTGACAAGTGTATTAACATCCAGATGGCTGGCTTGTACAGTTGAACACATGAGGCCAAGGCCATGTGAGGTCACTTAGCTTTATTCTTCCTCTCAGCGAGGTTACTTATTTATTTTCTTCTTTTACAAAACCCCAGTTGACATCTCTTGCCCACACTAAGTACGGAATGGGAGCCGTGGTGGCTCAACAGAAATTCCTTGCCCCATAGCTAAAGAAATGACTCAGAGACCATCAGTCTCTTCAATTTTGTGGAAAGCACAAAATTCTCTTGCTAAACAGTAATTCCGATAAAAGAAAATCAGTGTCTTGTCTGAATTTGATTTCATTGTCCTGTACCTTGGGCTTTGAGCCACCTGCTAAAACCACACTGACTTTATAGCCGCTTCGTCACCACCTGCTGCTTCTGTCCCGTTCTGTGTCTGTTCTAACGCTTCTCCCATCATGAGACTGAAAGTATTTAACAGTCAAGTCGTCACGTACCGTCCAGAAGGGCCCTAGATTGGCCTTGACATACAAGGACAAACTGGAACTTTGGTTCTGTTGTCTCTTCAGGTGATAAACTGGGAGAACACGCTCCACATTCCCGCCCAGGTCAAGCTGAGCCCCGAGGCCAGGGACCTCATCACCAAGCTGTGCTGCGCCGCGGACCACCGGCTGGGCCGGGACGGGGCGGACGACCTGAAGGCCCACTCGTTCTTCAGCGCCATCGACTTCTCCAGCGACATCCGGAAGCAGCCAGCGCCCTACGTTCCCACGATCAGCCACCCCATGGACACCTCGAACTTTGACCCCGTGGATGAAGAAAGCCCTTGGAATGACGCTAGCGAAGGCAGCGCCAAGGCCTGGGACACGCTCACCTCCCCCAGCACCAAGCACCCCGAGCACGCGTTCTACGAGTTCACTTTCCGAAGGTTCTTTGACGACAACGGCTACCCCTTTAGATGCCCGAAGCCTTCCGGAGCCGAAGCTTCACAGTCCGAGAGCGCAGACGTAGAAAGCCCCCGTCTGGCGGACCAGACCGAGGGCTGCCAGCCGGTGTACGTGTAGGTGGCGAGGGCAGCCCCGCCACGCGCGTCCTGGGCCGGCGCCCGGCTGGTGCCCAGGCCCGTGTGGACGCTCAGGGCGGCTTTGTTTTCAGTTCGTCCGTTGATTTCGTCACTTGAAATTCTGGCCTTCACCAGGAATAAACCCAAAACGGTCCAGATGCTTGTTACAAAAGGACTCGGCACTGCTTCGAATTGGCTTTTGAGGACCTTCTCGCATTAAAACGATATTTTTAAAAACTTAGTACAGTTTAGAAAGAGCACTTATTTTGTTTATATCCATTTTTTCTTATACTAAATTATAGGGATTAACTTTGACAAATCATGCTGCTGTTGTTTTCTACATTTGTATTTTATCCATAGCACTTACTCACATTTAGGAAAAGAAAACTGAAGAACATGTGATAAGAAATCTCTGTGCAATAATGTAAAAAAAAGATAACACTCTGCTCAGATGTCACGGAGACCATTTTATCCACACGATGGTTTTTGTCTTGTATTTTTTCCCACATTTCAAAATTGTGATATAATGTTAAAAGCTGCTCTCTTTTTTTTGGCTTTTTGCATATTATATAGTATAATAGACAGTGTGAGCAAGGTGATGATGTGGTGTGATTTCAGGTGTCTGGTGTGTGGAGAGTACTGCATGAGCAGGGTTTTTCTATTATAAAATTACCGTATCTTGCCGTTCACAGCAGGTCCTGTGAATACGTTTTTACCGAGTGTCTTTAAATGAGGTGTTCCAGACAGTGTGCTGATAACGTATCGTGTGGGTGACTTCCTTGCTATGATTGTATCCTTTATTTTGTTTTGTTAAAGAAATGCAGATGTGTAACTGAGAAGTGATTTTTTGTGTGTGTGTGTCTTGGGTATGATTAGATTCTTTGCGGGGGCGGGGGGTAAACCTGAACATTTGTCATATACTAAACTTATATACATCAAAAGGGATTAATTTAGCTATGCCCCAAAACTGTAAGTTAACGATGTGTGTCCTTTTCTCTCGTCAGTATGCTCTTTCACCCTTGGTATAGCTGGTATGTGGAATTCGGTAGCTCTGACCTTACTACTTAACCTTTTACCAACAGACTGCCCACACTGAAAGGTTAATGAACGTTTTTCCTCCTGTCGTCTTGGACAGCTAGTATGTTACCGTGACGAAATTGAGTAATCTAATGGTTCTTTACATTTTTTTAGTGTGCTTTGAAGTGTCAGATCTTAACTTGGTTTAAACAATACATTTTGCTAACTTTTGTAAAAAAGCAAAGATTCTTCAAAGTGACATTGGAATAAAAAAATAAGCCATACGTATTTTCTTAGAAGTATAGGTGTATATACATACTACATAGATAAACACAAAATATTCCTTATTTCAAATTAGTATGATTCCTATTTAAAGTGATTTATATTTGAGTAAAATGTTCAATTTCTTTTTTGCCTTTTAAAAAATCTGATGCATCATATTTTTCATTATATTATTCCACATATTTTTCCTTGAAGTTCTTAGCATAATGTATCCATTATTTAGTATATATCTAGGCAACCACACTTACAAGTTTATCAGTGTCTAAACTAAAAAGAAAAAAAAAAGATTCCTGTGTACCGGTTTACATTTGTATGAATGGCATATTCTGAAGTCTGCTGTGCTTGTAATCGTGACTGTCAGTATTTTCGCTCTTTTATAGTAATGCCATGTTGTTATTTACAGCGCTCTGACATACTTTCATGTGGTAGGTTCTTTCTCAGGAACTCATTTTAACTATTATTTATTGATATATCATTGCCTTTGAAAAGCTTCTACTGGCACAATTTATTATTAAAATTTTGAATCCAAATCTTGTAGTCGATGTCATGTTTTATTGGAATTTGTAGGTTCTCCTCTCAATATGTAGTAACTCCCTCGTGCTTCCCCAGCGGTCCGCATGTGGCTAAGGCTGGAACTGCTGTCGGGGCCACTGTCACGAGAGGGATGGGAAGGGAGCCCCTCAGGTAGGGCCTGGGGTGTGGAGAAACGGCTTCTAGTTAGACATGCACAGTTCAACTGAGGCTGTGGCTCTGTGACCAACTTCTCTTCTGTAAAATGCGAACAAAAAATAACTTGTTGGGGTGTTGAGTGGATTAAGTGGGATATCAAATATATATGGTCGGTGATAAAATAAATCCCGAATAGCAGCTAATGCCCCTGCATGATACAGTTAAACTGAGAGGACGATTGTAGCAGCTGACCTTTCATTTTAAATGGTCGCTGGTGTTAGGAAATTCAGAAAAATACGACTTTGTTTGCTTGGGTTAGTCTTTGGAATAGGTAGTCACATGGTTTAGAAATCAAAATGTATAAAAGGACACACAAAAGAGTATCTCCTTCACATCCAGTCATTCAGTTCACCTCCCCACAGACAACAAATGATATTGATTTATTGTGCACCGTTAGAGAAATGAAAGTTTATGCACATGGTATGAGAAAATAAGTATATGTACTTTTTTTGCCTCTTACAACAATGGGAGAGTATCATGCATATTTTTTTCCATCTGTTTTCTTCACTGGACAATGTGTCTTGACAACCTGTGTCACACATGAAGGAACTGTTTATCCTTTATTCTTACGTGATATTCCATTGTGAGGGTGTTATAATCACACTAGTCCCATACTGACGGGCATTCAGTTGTTTCTGATCTTGTGATCTTTTTCTATTATAAACAATATTAGAATAAATACCCTCTTAAATAGCCATCATTTTGTGTAAGTGGAAGTAATTATGTATGACAGATTCCTAGAGGTGACATCCCCAGGGCAGAAGTTAAGTGAATTTGCAGTTTTTATTGCCCAATTGCCCTGCACAGATGCTGTAAGATTCCTCAGTGGCTCTTCTGCACGTTTTGCTGGGTGAGCCAAGAATGCAAGGCTTGACCGCTCCTGGCCTGGGCCGTTTGTCTGTCGGGGTTGGGTTTGCAGTGAGCAGCTGTGAGGGGGTGAGGTGACGTCTCCCTTCAGGTCCAAGAGCAAGTTTGCTTACTGCTGCTATAAAAGAGGTAGATTCCCCCAGCTTGGTGTACCTCAGCAAGATCCATCTGGGTCTTCCATGTCGCCCCAGTGGGAACTGATGCAAACAGTACTTGCTGGTTGTGAAAATGTTCTTTTTCTTGGATGAGGAGTCTCTTGCTCCAGCATCCATTAAAGAACAGGCTGACTTACTAGCTTGTAGGTAAGGGAAAGTCAGATTTTAGGCCTGATGATAGATATTGTACTGATGTAAACTCCCAACAGAAATAAATACATAGGCGTGTTTGTCTATCGTTTGCCAACCGCGCAATGCATTGTCAACCTTTTCGCTCTAAGGTATATTCATACAATTTTACTTGACATTTCTCTTATTTTGAAAGAAATTGACCATCTTCGTGTATGCTTAATATCCATTTAAATATCCTCCAAAGCAATGACCCTAATTTTGTGTATCATTTAAGTGTTGGTGCCTTAGAGGAAGCCAAAGGATTTCTGTCTCCTCCCTCCATCTCTCCTGCTCAGCTGAGAGGAACCATCTGAACGGGCCCGTGGCCAGGAAGCCGATTGCTGAGAACAGGCTCCGTCAGCGTCTCTGACGGATTCCGTGGAAGAGGGAGACTCGGCTCAGCATTGCAGGGGCGCAGCGGGCTTGGCTTCAACATATTTGTGGTCGTCTTGGGGTGTGATTGAAGTCTGCTGAGGAAAGAAATAGCGTACTACATTCGTTCCTGGTTTTCTTCACACACGTTACGTGTCCCTCGCAAATCCTGAAAGCAAAAACACGAGCCAAAATGGTGTGCTGCCTCTGTATCTTCATGGACTAGGCTATTTTTCAGCTGCAGATTTTCGAAATGGAGTTTATCAAATTCCTCCTACTTCCTCCATATGTGATTTAAAAACCAAGTTTAAAGCCTCAGTGTCTACTTTAATATTGTATTTCTACTGACAAAATTTAGCATAATCAAGATCTTTGCTGTTAAGTGCAAATTTGTAAGTAGTGTCATGCTGGTATTATTAACCCCATTATATCTTTTTCCATCAGAAAAGAAGCTTTTTCTTAGCAAAGAATATTCCATTTCCAAAAGAAGCCTAAATTTAGTGGACAGTGTGAGCTTATTCACCTTAGAAAGGAGGAAAAATATTGGACACTGGTATGAAATACATATGGCCTATTGTTTAAGGGAGAAAACCACACTGAATGGCAGTGTTCTTTTTTGGTTTTGCTTTTAACTCACATCAGATAATTGTAAAAGTTTTGTTTCAACCATCGAACATACTCTTGAAAACTCAGGAGGAGAAAGAAAGTCTCTGATATTTACTGGTATTTTTGCTTGCTTCTTTTCTTCCTGATGTGCTAAGGTTTTTTTTCTTTTATCTTTTCTATTCTTTTTAGAGAATGTCCTTTAGCCATTCTTTTGAGAGGTCTAGTGACAAATTCTTAGTTTTTCTTCATTTGAAAATGTTTTCATTTCCCTTCCATTCCTGAAAGGTATGTTTGCTGGCTATGGGATTCTGGGTTAACAGAATCTTTTCTTTCAGCTCTTGAAAAATATTGTGCCACTTCCTTCTGGCCTGCGTGGTCTCTGAAGAGAATGATGCTAATTGGTTTTCGCCTATAGATAGGTAAGGTGGTGTTTTTCTCTGGCTACTTGCAAGGATTTTTCTTTGGTCACTTTTCAGAAGTTTAATTCTAAGATGTCTTGGCTTCGATTTCTTAGGGTTTATCCTGTTTGTACTTCACTCAGCTTCCTGAATCTGTAGGTTTATTTCTTGGGTCAAAGTTCGGGGGTATTTTCAGCCATTATTTCATCCAGAGCTTTTTCATCGTCCTTCCCCTTCTAACTCACATTCCAGGACGTTAATGATACAACTGTTAGATCTTTCATTTTAATTCCTGAGGGTTTGTGGTTTTTTCCCCCCTTCATTTTTCTGTGTTGTTCACTGTGGGTAATTTCTTTCTTTTATTCTGCCTCCCAGTTCACTAGTTCTCCCCGCGGGCCCTTCCATTCTGCTCTGTCCTCGGTGAGCTTTGCACGTCAGTCACTGTATTTTTTACTTCTAAAATTTCCATTTCATTCTTCTTTGTAGATTTCTATTTCTTCGCTGAGGTTTTCTGTCTTTTCACTTGTTTCAAGTGAATTGTAATTGCTCACGGAAGCCTTTTTACTATGGCTGACTTAAAATATTAGATCATTCTGGCACAGTGGCTCA